TGCTACTTTACAAGGCGCAAGTTCGGCCTCACATGGAATACTGTTCCCATCTCTGGGCAGGGGCTCCCCAGTGCCAGCTCCTTCCACTTGACCGCATCCAACGCAGAGCGGCTCGAATTGTCGACGACCGAGCCCTTTCCGATCGGCTCGATTCATTGGCACTGCGAAGAGATGTTGCATCCCTTTGCATTTTCTTTCGCATCTACCATGGGGAGTGCTCTGAGGAATTGTTCGGATTAATCCCAGCCGCCAAATTTCACGAACGCACATCGCGGCAGAACTCCCGATACCATCCACACCATCTGGATGATTGGCGGTCCACCACTGTGCGATTTAGAAGATGTTTTCTTCCTCGCACGACCTCCTTGTGGAATCGATTACCATCAGCGATTTTTCCGGACCGATATGACTTAGGGACCTTCAAGAAAAGAGCGTACTCCTTTTTAAAAGGCCGGCAACGCATCTGCGATTCCCCTGGTGTTGCAGTTGTTCATGGGCGGCGGTAGTCACTTACCATCAGGTGAGCCGCATGCTCGTTTGCCCCCTCTCCTATAAAAAAAAAAAATACGTTTTCCACTGTAAATATAGTCTCATTTTCATAACTTTTGGAAATGTTGTAGATATAATGAAAAACTAGGTCCGTACGTTTTTATTTTAAAGAAGTATTCATACGTTTTCCACTGTAAATATAGTCTCATTTTCATAACTTTTGGAAATGTTGTAGATATAATGAAAAACTAGGTCCGTATGTTTTTATTTTAAAGAAGTATTGCGTACGATATAAGTTATTAGCATCTAAATATCTATATTTTCCACTTTAAAACTTGTTTTTAATTTTTTAAAATTAAACTAAACTGAGGTACTAAAAAACAAAAACGTACAGACCTGGATTAAAATGTACTGAATCTAATGAGATCAAAATTGTTTCATTTCGTAAAGGTTTGGAGGAGTGAAAACGTTATCGCGCGTATATATATCCAAGACTTGCAACTAAAAAAAAAATTAAAAAAAAAACGCACGAGGAGGGAAGCAGAGCGAGAGGTATGAAACAGATAAGATTTTTGACAAGTAGTAAAGTTAAAAATTTTGTACAACCGACTTCAATATAAATTATTAAGGATAACTCAAAAACTACTGGTCTGGCCTTGATAAAATTTATATGGAATTACATGAGAAACACCAGCTTACAAATGAAAAAAGAATCACCAAAAACGGTTCACCTAGAAAAAAGTTATGAGGTAACACATAAAAAACATACAGTCGAATTGAGTATCTCCTCCTTTTTGAAGTCGGTTAAAAAACCTACTCGCGCCTCGTATCGGCACTTCACAATCCTCTTAAAAGAAAAAGATTAGCAGAGTTATTCCGCAATTTTTAATCAGCACTAGAGTTGTGCTATAAAGGTCGTTTGCCGGTGGGTTTCATTCTGCGATCGAGTAATTTTTTTTTTGTACCCTAAAGTAGGAACGTAATATAAAAAAAAAACTATTGGCTTATAATCGATATTAATACTTCACAATACAAAGAAACCAAAATGTTGTACTACTAAAATAGATATTATAATATTAAAGAATGAATAATTGAATGGGGTAGTTATAAACTTATTTGCTTAATTCTACGTATAGAAAGAAAGTGATGTGTCCTGCCCAGTTTTAAGAGGACATCCCACCGTTCCTCAATCGCGCGCACTATACCCCTCGCCGTCAATCCCAGAACTATCGTCCCCAGCACCAGCACACTAGGCACGACACACCACTCTCGAAAATACGACACGTGTTTCGCCTCTACACGAGGCATCCTCAAGTGAAGTAGACTCTGCGGAGGCTGGCCGCTAAATTTATGAATAATTGATATAACCCCTAGGAAAGAAGTGATCGCTACTATATTGTTTCTAATGTATAATTGAATGGTTAAACTATATTATAAATTAGCTGTTCCCCGCCACTTCACCCGCGTGAAATTTATTACGATTGAATTTCATGGGTTTTAATTTTTTTTGCGCGGAATCCTAATTCTTTCCTAAAATAAAAGTAGGCCAAGTTACTATTTATAACATTAGCTATCTGCCAGTGACAGTCTCATCCAAATCGTTTTACAGGTTTTTGCGTGAGTTTTTTTTTTTTTTTATTATAGTAAGAGATATTACAGTAATAGATTATTAACTTCCTTCTGCGTAGCATTGAAAGAAAGTTAATGGTTTTAGCTGGCAGTCTGTTAGTCTGTATGCCGACACGATAACTTCCGTTCCACTGGACCGATTGACTTTAAATTTGGTATGTGGATACCTTGAGGTAGTAGCTCGGTCAAGTTTGTATTTGGGTCCTGTAGGTCAAAGGGCACCAGAGATATGGGATTCACGCAGAAGGAAGTTGTTTTTCTTGAATTTACATTCAACTCGTTATAAATTATGATTTAAGAGTCCCACTGCGTTTCTTTCTGGTTCTTCCCAGGGTAGAGATATTTTCCCAGCCGGTGGTAAAAGCAAAAATTACTTTCAATAAGTACAACGCGTTATCTTCCAAACCTCAAAACGTAACTAACATGATTCCCACCAGAGTTACACAATCGTACAGCCGCTCAAAAAACATCATTTAGAAATGGTAGTGGATTAAAATTACGTCTGACAAAGATTTAATAAAATAAAGGCATTTCAATTATTCATTTTAACTAAATATACATACAGGGCTATTTTGCAAAAAAAAATTAATTTAAAAAATCTCAAACATTTTGTCCTTTTTATTTTTATAAATTCAAAATGCATGGCAATGCATGATTTTAACTGAGTGTCATTCATAAATATCTAACGCCTACTATTATACTACGCACGAACATATTCGTACGGGTCGCTCGGCCGGCAAAAACGTGAAACATCGGAGCGCGTGTACGCGTAGCTGTTGCCCATAAATAACATTGAATTTGAAATAAAAGTAGAAGCCTTATTTACTCGTATTTTGAAAAACTACAAAAACGGTATAAGATTATTTATATGTTAGAACTTAAGTATAAAATTTGGCTACTCTGAAAAACAAGCCTCTATAAGATTAAGATATACGTGCCAATATGTCCAAAAACTTGTGTTAGAAAAATAAACTTGACTGACAACGTCTGTTTATGAAACTATTAAAAATTAATATAAAAATAAAATGATTCGTTACGTCTGAACTTAGCTATATGATACAAAAATAAGTCTATTTAATTCTAGTTGATATCAACTCTTCCTACCCCATGTCACCGACACAGTCAACTACATTTCCACACATCGAACGCAAAGCGCAGATGCAGTGCTCTATTGTTACCAAATCAAAAATCGCGATCTACTCAACCTAAATCACTTCCACCAGCTTTATATTGCACTTATATAATAAAAAAAAGTACACCGATAGCAAGAGGAGATTTGAATTAATAATTGGGGTGAGAAACGAGCACACAGTCCACCTGATGGTAAGTGGTTGCTGCAACCCATATACATCTACATTTATCCTCAATAAAGAAGATGCAGATGCGTTGTCACCCGTGAGGACTAAGATGGAATGCCTCTTTGCCAGTAAAAAGGGTCTCCGGTTCTCTACACTCACCATACGAAACACAACCCATTCGTACTACAACTGTACTACTAATATTAGCTGCAGCATGGCTCTACCACGTATAATTAAAAAAAAAAACAGCAAATTCTCTAATGCTGCATGTAAACCTCTTTGTTTGTAATCTCAATATACTTTTTTCTTGTAAATTTACTAATGTATACAAATCGTATATAGCATGTTACAAGTATAAATAATCTAAGTTACATCGAGAATCAGTCTTGAAAAAAAAAACAGTTACTAAACGCAAACCTCACACCAACGTATTCAGCTTGTGGAGGGAAACTTTCGTTTTTAAATTCAAATAAAACTAGTTTTTACGGATCCCATCGCGTATATTAACTTATTTTATAATCCAGACGTCCACTTTATAGCACTCATGGTCACTGTGGGGGAACGGGGGGGGGGGGGGCTGAGGTATTCGACGTCCCAATGTCGTAGTAGTGGAGTAGCCGTGGTTAATTATGCCATTGGCACGTCGAACACCTGAGGCCCTCCCGCGTGACCATGAGTGCTTTAAAGTGCTCGAAACGTCGAAACGCGATAGAATCCGTAGAAACTAGTTTTATTTAAATGTGTAGTGTTCACGTAAATATGAGAAATCGTTTTTTTAAACTGTTCACAGCTTCTCAATTCGTTGACTTCGAGAAATGTTTTAGTTACAAATTAGTTCTAATTAAGTCTAATTACAAATTTTAGCTAAACGCCTGTTCAATCTTATAATAAATCATACCCCCCCCCCTCTCCTTATTCTCACCATCACGGATCAGTTAGGGTTTTTTACATATATATAACGCAAAAGTAAAAAAAAAAATCACCAGGGTCATTTCTATAATAGACAAAAAAACAAATAATGAGAATGGACTTACAACAGAGCTACAATGAGGGCTAATAATATTCCGTTCACCAGATGTCGCTAGTTGGGAGAGAGGTGAAGTTTTTTGTTACAAATTGTCGTATAAATCGAAAGAGTCTATAATATACACAAAACAACGCTTCAGTGATTTGCTACTTATTATTTTTAGCGTTTTTTTTATTTTCCTACTATTAGGTATATTAGTAGTTTGGTTTATTCATTTTAATCTAACATATTATAACATGTAACTGTTATTACAGAGAGACACATTAACCCTTCAAATTAACTTACCCGCCATGTAATCTGTCAAATATTCCACCTCACTCCAAAGTGGGGCCGCCCTGGTGGCAGAAAAAGTTGCGGATGCCCTCATCGACATCCTGTGTTTTATAACCGTGCAATTGTGAGCACAAGTTCATTAAGCGACACGTAATCACTTCAAATTCACAACACAACGTCACAGGGATTGTGTTTTTTATAGAAATATCTATCTACATAACTTTTAAAAACATTAAGTCTACGACAACTGTGAGCCAGTCAGTGTTGCCAGGATATGTTTGGGCTCAGTGTCGCAATAGACCACGTGCTTTCGCCGTAAGTTTGCGCACTCGACCTCTGGACGATATGGACACCGGCCCTCCAGAAGCCGCCGAGCCCCTCGACCCCCCGGACACCGCCGACACTCCAGACACCGTTGTGATGTCGGCAGGTGTTAATGAAAGAGAACACGTGTTGCTGAGACTAATTCTTTAATTATCCTGATTAATAAACTTAAGAGAACATGTATTACTTACACTACTAGTAGGGTTGAGGCACATACACTACACCTCCCCCGATACTTAAAAAAAAAAAAGAAATGTTCTTTATTTACTTTTTTTTTTACATATTATTTTCTTGATAGATATAATAAAAAAATGATTTATGGTTACATGTAAATTATATTGTGAATTCAAATATTTAATTATAAAATGATATGAACCCTGAATCCTATTACATAAAAATAAATTTAATATTGAAGATTAAAATAAAATACAATGTTACTTAGCCATTAAATTTATATAATTTCTAAATTTAGTAAACATAATTGAGTAAAATAAAGCAGTTAAATAGAATATAAAATAATTAAAAAAAGATTATAATCTCATGATCATGATCAGGTCAGGTTATACATAATATTATCGAGTCAATCCAGGATACGCATGCGATTTTATTTCGTACGTCATTAAACCTGTCGTTTTTTGGTACTAACCAACATTACAACAACATGTTAACATAATCATGTAGGTATATAGGTGGGCAACAATAATAATGCATTTTGCAATAAACTTGACATCATATTATATGTACTTTTTATCCTTTCTAAAAACCTGATGTCTACGAAAAGTTCTCATTGAATTCTTAGCATTTCCATAATACTCGTTTGCGCACCCGACTATCACTGAAATAGCTAATTATCTACCAGATCTTGTGCTTTACCTATTAACATTCCAACATATTTTCATTACTGAAATAAGTTAATATGTCAATTTACTCTAACCAGTGTGTATAAAACACTCACTGAATTTATTTTTATCAGTCAAATCTCTCAATAAATAATACTTACAATCCTTGCCATTCAACACATAACTTTAAGTATCTTAACCCATCTTATCACATTAGTGAAATAAAAGAAGAAAAAAAAAAACTTGCCAAGGAATTATTACAAGTGTTTGAAATAGGTTTTATTATGATCTACCAAGATGGTCATATAATATTAAAATATTCGAGTCAAAATGCGAAACTGATCTATATTTTTTTTAAAAGATTTCGACCGATGATACCATTCTCCATAATTGGTAACGAATTAAAAACATAGAACTTGTTCTCAATAGTTAGATCGCTTGTGCTCAATTACTGAAATACAACATACATATTTGACATAATTGGGCAATATAATAAATATATAATATATTTTTTTTTACTATTTTACAGGCATTACAAATTTATATCATAATATAATCTCGTATAATATTTAGGTACATATGTCATTGTCAGTCAGGGATTGAGGCTCACAATATTTTGGTCACAACAAAATTTAAAGTAATTAATTGCAAACATAGTATAATGAGTTTCAAGATCGTATTAAATAAAGTAATTATTTTCATAATCCATACATACTAAGTCGGCATCACTTTACTATTTTCTCAGAAAATAATAAATTGTAATAGATAAAACGTTTATGATTTGAAAGTTCAATCAATATTATACCGAAAATAATTGATTACATTTTATATTTAGATATCCAGAACAAAGAAGTCAATGCAAAGCAACGTACCTAATAATTTTCGTTAACATAACAACAGACAGATCAAAATACATGTTGTGCTCCCAGCCGCGTAAGCGATTTGTGACACCTTTGTTTTAAATTCAAAAGTACAAGTACCTATATGGAAACGTTTGAGATTACATCGTATGATGGTACCTACTTTCAACAATACAATAAAATGATATCGTGAATATAATCATTTACACAGTTTAGGTAGTAACATTTCATTGTGATAATAGGTTTACATACATTATCAAGTATTCATTATTTAAGTTATTTATAATAGTCGAAAACACATTACTACTTTTTTATTTTATGACTTTTATGGAATATTTTTATCTTAATTGAGACAGAAATTTAAAATATACACTATTAAATACCTAAAGTTTGTTTAAACAAAATATTTATTAACATTAGAAGAGACAATTTTTTTTGAAGCAGATTACATAATTTTATGTTTCGTTGTCCATAATAAAAAATACTATTGTTATGAAACTTAAAATAATAGAGTAGATACACTTTCGACTTTTTTTAGTAACTAATATACAAAATTTCGTTTAAAATTGTAAAAATTTTACATTAACCAAAAAAAACGAAGAGAAATTTAGGGTAAAGTTATTGAAAATATGAAAAAGTTTTGCAAATTCATATAAAATATATCTAAGCGAAAACGTATTTATCATTTTTTTTTATTGTGGTTGTTTTTTTTTTTGCTTTGGCGGCGATTCCATTATGACCTCATTTTAATTGTTCTCATGTCCCTACATGTTAATTATTTTCATACTTGCACATCTCCATAGATAAGGACATCTCATTACATTCCTTTTTGATTGTCAGGCCTATTATTTTTTCATAATTGTTGTACGTACTTTATTTCTTTCTTATATTTTTGACCTTTTGCTAGCTTTATTTCTTTTAGTATTAAAATGCTGTTCTAAATTCTCTTTCCTTAATATTTATTTATTAATTAGATACCGGGAATCGGAGTATTAATTCACTTCATTTATATTTTATTTCGTGATATTTATCACGCGGGTACTTTATAAATATGGGCCCCCCATTTACTTGGGTATTATATTACTTTTTCATAACATTCGTTTCATTTTATTGGTACATAATTTTTTTTATCATACTATATCAAGGTAAAACTGTACCTTGGGTTGTGCGCACAACCTTGAGGCCAACGTTTATGTCATTTTAAAAGGACTCCAACAATTGTCACGGAGGAAAACTAAGTTCACACTATGATCCAATGAAGGATGTGACCCCTATGTACCATTATTAAGGGTAACAAATTTAAGACTTCTCTGGTCCCCAACAGTACTAATATGAGTAAACTCGTTCACATCTCATTTGTACTGAAGGTATTGTTCCCTAGTACCCGTTACTTCCGATTTTATCATCCAATCATGGAAACGTACCCTGCTCGAGGACTATATGCTTTACCAGTGATGGACGTTCCCGTATCTCTCCATGATTTATTTATCAAGGTTATCTTTTAATTTATTTTGATTGTCTGCGTAAATTTTTATTTCTTTCTTTATCTTTATAGTACCTGCTGTTATCTACTTGACTGTATCGGTAACTTTTATATACTTTCATACTCCATTTCCATTACTAACTGTGATAATTCTCGCTCATAATGGTTTCAATACCAGGATTTTAAGCATCATCAAATATTTGGGTGATCAGTCCAATATTGACGAAACTTTGCAATTCCATCATTCGTATCCACACATTTGAACATTCCTTCTCTCATTCCTCACGCCTTTTAAATATATACTTTTTAATATTGTACAAAAAAATGAGGTAATATATGTCAACTTTTCATCTCCATATTTAACTTTGTTAAGAAACATTACTATTAATGATTATTCTTTTAATGATTATTTTCCTTATGACATTAAAATGATACTTTTAAATATTTTCTGACACAGAAGTTTATAGTATAATTACATCGCATCGCTATTACTTTTAATTATAACGAAAAATATATTAGCATTAGTTATACATTTAATTTACATATAAAAATTTAGGATTTCTAGAAATTTAAGAAACCGTATAACCTACAGAAAATAATTTGTAATCACTATTACAGCTAAATTTATTTTAAACAAAACATTAAGTTATTTCCAATTTTTGATTTTTAAGCAGGTTATATTAACTTTAAGGTCATTTATTAAAGGTTATCTATTTATTTATATAGTTACTTTAAGGTTTTCATGCCTTTAGAAAAGAAGAAAAATAATTATGACTTATTAATAGCGATTTTTTTTTATAAAACCCTTTTCCAAATTGTATTCTTACATTTAAATAAAATTTATCACGGAAAAAAAATTGGGCTGAATTTAAAAATATATTTACTTTAATACGAATCTTGTCATTGTAAAATGTAACTTAATATATTGTATTTTTTTTTAATACAATACCTACTAAAATATTATAAATATTATAAAATGTTAAATTCAAGTTACTTGTAAATACCGTACATTTAATATTTAATGTATTACTTATTTATTTAATATAAAACATAATAAAACATTATTAAAATCAAATGTTAAAAATTACGCTGAAGCGATGTTACCTCTTAAATCTTCTTTTTCCTTTTCGGTTTAATTTTCATATCTTACTGGACAAAGCTCGCTAAAGTACAACTGCTCCTTTCCTTATTAAATTAATTTCTGTTTCTTGAGTTTTGGTCTTTGGTCATTATTTAAGAAATCACTTTTTATTCTTATTATTATTTCTTAGTTGCCTTCATAGTTATATTAAAGATAAATATATTATATTGCTTCATATACGTTATAGTTTTTAAATTTTCAGTCAATTATTATTGTGGCCTCTTCTTGTATTCATATTTATTAATTTTTCGTCACATCCGGTATTGCGTCCATTCCGTTATAACATTTCTTTTATCTGTCATTTCACTTCATTATTTAATTTAAATTTGTTATAATATTTTTATTTATCTTTTTTTTATGTAGTAGGCCTCGGCGGTGCGCATGCATTGTCGCAGCGCACCGCCTGGCAGGGTCGCCATGTGATGTCGGCAGGTGTTAATGAAAGAGAACACGTGTTGCTGAGACTAATTCTTTAATTATCCTGATTAATAAACTTAAGAGAACATGTATTACTTACACTACTAGTAGGGTTGAGGCACATACACTACACCGTACTTGCTAAAATTGAAAAACTGTCCTCAATAATAAAGTCAATAATAATAATGGTGCAAACAGTGGTAAAAGTAAAAAAATTATCTCAGTAATAATTACTTGTGTGTTCTATAAATAACATGTAAATCAAACACAAGAATGACAGTTACTCTGTGCAGGCTCACCGTGTCCGTTGTGCGCGGCGTGTGCGGCGTGCGCGTGTCCGTTGAAGTAGTTGTGGTCGCTCGTGTGCGCCGCCGTCGTACTCGCGCTCTGCATCGTTTCATACAAAATATATTAATACAATCGTTCAATCCTTACGTCGCTGGTTCAGATCCGGCTCGAAAGACCTAATTTGATCCTTGTAAGTTTAGACTTCTTCTTTTTCGACAAATTCCAATTCACAACTTCAAAACAATATTGTACAACCAGTGCGTGTTGCAAGTGATGACTTATGAATTTGAGACTGCTGGCTGAACGAGGAAGAGCTATGATAGATTTAAAAATGAGGATATCGACAGATTTCTGAACCTATATAAATTAAAAAAATATATTTACGTTTGCGGGTGTAGTGTTGCGGTGCTTACCTGCATGCGAAATATAGTGTGTGGTTGTGATGGTTATGCGTGGTTGTGTGATGTGCTGGTGTGGTGGTTGGGTGTCTGATGGTGCATTTGTAGTTGGAGTGTATACTGGTGGTGGTTACGTGTGGTGTAGTGGCGACGGTACCTGCATGGCGTGGCGGTGGCGGCGCTGGTGCAGCTGCAGCATGCGCTGGTGGTGGTGCAGCAGGCGCTTGCTGATGGCGGCCGGCGAGTCCTCCTCGCTGTCCTCGTTGTAACGCCTCCCACGAGCACGTGCCCGTAACCGACCGTCCTGCAAACACCGTTACTATTACCGTAACAGCCTATTAAAATCATAGGCCTCTCTTATAGGTTGCTTCATAGGAGGGATATTTGCCCTAGTTGCCACGATTGGCAAGCGGCTTGGCAACCGACGTATTGGGCGTTATCAGGAAGACGCTGCTGTCCATCTCCTGATTTGTTTCCCTTTGTCGCTTTTTACATCCACGGGATTATATGGGGTAGTGGATATTCCTACACCGCCACTACACGGTAACATTTATTATTACTTGTTAATAGAGTCCATCAGAGTAGGTTTACATGCGTAATATACGAGGTACAACAATATTACAGTTACGCTATAGTTGTAGCACGAATGGGTCGGCTCGACCGGGTGAAACACCACGCTCTCACAGAATACCAGCGTAAATTAGCACCTTAATGCTGCTGTGTTTCGTATGGTGAGTGTAGACAACCGGAGACCATTTTTACCGGAAACGAGGCATTCCACATTAGTTTTTAGATGTGAAGACGTGAGCCTTCTTTGTTAGTTGACTGCATTACCATAACTTGCAGTGGCTACTTACCATCATAATCTAATTACCATTACACATTACATTACTCATCATCATACATTCAACATGGTTTAACACACACATTACATGATATACATCATGGTAATAGGTGTAGCGATCGCTGTAAGTTTCACAGAAAGCGAGCAACCCAGGTTTCATCCCTGCCGGTACCAATAAAACTGTCAATTGCGTAGAACCAGACTGATTCCACATTTTTTAATGATTTTTTTTATAGGATAGGTTGACAAACGAGCACACAGTCCACCTGATGGTAAGTGGATGCTGTGGCCCATAGACATCTACATCCATACTCAATTACGAATCAAAATGCAGATGCGTTGTCAGCCGTGAGGACTAAGATCGAATGCCTCGTTTCCAGTAAAAAGGGTCTCCGGTTCTCTACACTCACCATACGAAACACAACAGCGTTAAGATGCTATTTTACGCTGGTATTCTGTGAGAGCGTGGTCCTTCCCCGGTCGAGCCGACCCATTCGTGTTACAACTATACCAGAAATATAGCTGCAGCATGGCTCTACCACATATAAGTATTTATCGAATACCTAAAAGCAACAAGCTACAATCAATCATATTACGTACTCTGTTGCGACCCCGGCTCGAAGGACCGGCCGCTTCATCTCCCTCCTGCCTTTGCCTGGAACAACAAGTTTTGATTTTTGTGATTTAAAAAAAAAAACAAATATCTCAATCTCCGACCAAACCATAAAGTTACCGGATGGGCTCGTTACAAATCATAGAAGCAGAAAAATAAAATGACTTATTACAAATTAAACAAATAAATATGCATACATAAGTGCGTGCATTTAGACGTTTATATTTTGTATTAATTATATTTGAAACGAATAAACCAATCTAAGGATAAAATGTTTAAAAAAATAAAGAGTACAGCACTGAGGCATTGTTTTGTGTATTAATTACTCTAGAATATGATAAAATTTTACTTAAAACTAACTTTTTAATTAAGTTCAAGTTAATACGTTTATTTTCAAAAACAGTTAAAAAGGTTACAATGCATATAAGTACAGTACTTGTGTTTAGGCAAAATATTAACCATTTGAAATTGTATTATTAACGCACTCTAATTAACGGATTAGTTCCTGTTTTGTGAAGCTAGTTGAGTGTATAATAACGTGAATAGACTGACCTAGTGCCTTGAAGAAAGAAATTGCCACCGGGGACGCCACAGGAGAATACCGCCACCGGGGCAGCATCGTGGCATCTGGTTCAGGCCACCTAAACACAGACACTCCCAAACACCACTTACATGCACTACACTTTCAGCCTGACAGATCCTGGTGACCAGTCTCCGCCCCCGAAGCAGGTAAGGCAGGTACCTTAGTAGTTAAATACTCTCTATTCGACTAGCCTTCCCCTTAAAGTGTAGTAGGATAGAAAATTTCCATAAGGCCACAAGGGCACGAACCCGCTGTTGCTCATCGAGTGGATCTCTCCTGGGCCCTGGTTCAGTCGACTTTTGTAGGGGCAACTTAGGGCCGTAACATTCTGGTAGCAGGAGCGCGGTTGATTGAATTCCAATCACGCCACGGCCGTAATGTTAACAATATAATATTATATAGTATAAAAAATAGTACGTTATTAGCGGGTGGAAGGACAACGCTTGTTAAGGCTAGGTACTTACCGTAGTTTGATAAGGATATCACACGTAATCGGATAACTATCGTTGGCGTATAGTTATAGTAGATTAATTGTCGAAGGGTCGGCTGTTTGAGCGAGGCATTTTGCTGATTAATTGTAGTGTAACTTGTATTTAATTTAATAAATAGTAGGTCGTATTTGTAGTAATTTGTATTTAACTCGATTACATAGTAATTGTATTTGCTATTTGCTCATTTGATTTGTGTTTTTTTTCTGTGTTTTGTGCATTAGTTTGTATTTACTAGTGATGCCGTCGCACAAGCAACCGGCGCTCCGCCTGCAGGCAGAGCTGCGTTGGGCCGCTAATGCCCATATTTTGATAGGTCGACCTGATCGGGTTCATAGTTTAAGGAAGCGGCTCGAGCAGGTCGATGCCCGAAGGGCTGTAGTGGAGGAGGCTTGCACAGAGCTTTTGGCCTCGGATGCGGAACAGGAAGTCCTAGACTTCTACCTCGCGAACTACGAGAATTTTTTTGCGCTCACGGACGATTTGATCGAGGCGGAGGCCAAGGAGGCGGAGGAAGCGCGTGAAGCTAGACTGATGTGCCTGCCCGAGTCTCCTCGGAAGCAGCCTACTCAGCCGGAGCTGTTAGGACGACTCCCTACTCTGGACCTGCCAAGGTTCTCCGGGGTCCTTTCCGAATGGCTGACGTTCGTCGGTCTCTTCGACAGCCTGGTGGACGCCCGGAGGAACTTGACGCCCAGCCAGAAAATGGGGTACCTCCTAGCCTCATTGAAGGGGGAGGCCCTGGGCGTCGTCGGTCACCTGAAATTGTCGGACGACGCCTACCAGAATGCTCGGGACCTCCTCGCCGGAAGGTACGCCAACGTCCGCCGGATTGCGGACGACTACTTGCGGAGGTTGCTAAACTTCCCGCTGCTGAAGGATCGGACCAGACTACGCACGAACATCGTGAATCCAGTCGTGGTGGCTTGCAACTCATTGAGGCGGCTGGATTTACCGGTGGACGAATGGTCATTCCTATTGCTCCACATTGTGCTGTCTTGCCTGCCTCTCGACCTTCGGCTCCACTTCGAGGAGAGGCACGGCGGAGACGGCGCCTCCTATGTTCCTCCCTTCAGGGACCTGCTGCGATTCTTAGAGGAGCAGTGCAGACAGATGGAGAACGCAGCAGGCGCTGACGAGGAACCCCAGGTTGTCACCCGAGCGGAATTCGAAGGCCAAGGCGTCGCTAACCCCCCTGAGGCCGAGCGGAGCTCCCGCGGGAGGGCGCCACCCCCTACCCTCTTATAGTGGCCTAGCAGCCAGGGAAGCGTCCCCCTGCTCCTACTGTCGAGCATCCGACCACCGGGCGATATCGTGCCCTAAGTTCCTGGGTAAGCCGGTCCCGGCGAGGCTAACCATCGCCAGGGAGCGTCGCTGGTGCTACTCGTGCTTGATAAGGCATCTCCAATGAGACTGCCCGCACCGGCGGCCCTGTCCGCACTGCCAGGACAACCACCATGCCGTGTTGTGCTTGGGTGCGAACGGCGCGTCCTCTCGGGACCATGCCGGCCCCCCGACTCCCACGGGCGGGGGCGCTCAACCACGCTCAGTGTCGGGCGACACTCGGCGCTCGCCTGCCGACCACCGCGCCCCTCGTTCTGAGGAGAGTCCCTCCACCGACCGGTCGAGGAGTCGTTCTCCCAGGGGCGGGGGGATCGTCACCCCCCCTCAGCGTGTTGAGATGTGCTTCGCGGCCACTCAGCGGTCAGCTAGACCGTTCTCACCCCCGTTGGCTGAGTGGCTGCGACTGGAACGCTGCCCTCCCCCTTTTGGTCGGTGCAGGTATTACCGGGTTCCTGAGTATCGGTCCCGGGCCTCGGGGCCGAGGCTCTCCGAATTTCCCCAGGTCGGCCCGTTCGGGGAATTCCAGCCGCGGGTCATCGAGATGCCGTCGGAGTGCCGCTCTCGGGGCCCCCGGTTCGGGTGCCGGTCCGACAGAGGCAACTCCAGATAGGAAGCTGCCCTAGATCCCACCACGGCCGCCTCCACTGAGCCTTTGAGCCGTCGGCAGTCCACCTGTCAAACAGTTCTATTGCCGACGGCCTCAGTGAAGGTGTACAACCCGAGCGGCGACCGCTTAACGGTTCGAGCTCTATTGGATTCGGGTTCACAACGTAGTGTGGCCTCCACTTGGTTGGTGGGAAGACTGGGGCTCCCCTGGAGCTCTGAATCACGTCCGATGGTAGGTATCGGAGGTGCCGAGCCTCAGGGGACAAGCAGAGTTAGTGTTCAGCCCCGCCAGCGAACACCTTCACAATTTAGTTAAGGTAAATGTCCTCGATGACATTGTAGGTTTCCTTCCTAACGTACGTATAAATGACAGCGCGGTTCGTTGTGCATCGGGTTTGAGACCGGCGAACCCTCAATGGTCCAAACCTGGGCCTATAGATTTGTTGCTGGGGGCCGACGCGCTGGGGTTCATCTTGTTAGGCGAGATACGGACCCTGCAGCATGATGCCTTGTCGGCCGTGTCCACTGTATTTGGGCACAGTTTCTTTGGACCGGTTATGTGGTCCCCTCCCCCTCCGACGGCTGACCCGCTCTCTATTGTGGGCGTGTCCCTTTCGGACGCCGTCCAGCGGGTCTGGGAAATTGAGGAGCCACCACATGCGGCTCGAGTCAACCCTCTGGACCGTGAGTGCGAGTTGTTCTACCAGAACAATACCGGCCGTCATGTCGACGGTCGTTTCGTCACTCGCTTACCCTTTCTGGACTCACGTCCCCCTTTGGGTAAATCTCGTGCACTAGCCGAGAAGAGGTTGCTTTCCATAGAGCGCCGCAT